AAATAATTTTACATCTTTATTTAATGCAGCCTTAAATTTACACACATTGTTTTTCTTTGTCACATATGTTTAACTTGTCACTGAATATTTTATTTCCAAAATTAACATATTAACTCTCAAAACTATAGTATCTTGACTCTCACTCTTGAATTCCCTTAGATAATCTTGTACCAGTCAGTATTTTCAGTAAATACATATATCTCTCATTTTTTGGAGGTTACCCTAGTGTTAAATGACAAACATAAGCCTTCTATATTTATGACAACAAGTGTTACTAAAATCAAACCGACTGATTCCTGGAATATTTATGATGGTAACCGATTATTGAGTTACCTAAAAACAACTATTGCAGGCCTCTTGTCCAGAATTTATGAAGATAACCGTTGACAGGGTTAAGATACTAAAATCTCACAGACTGATACACAATCTAGCCCCACAGATTTATAATAATAAATAATGACAACAAATGAGGTCTCAATTCTCATACAAACTCAATCATTCAATCACATCTTAACCAGGTTAAAAATATAGACTGTTTTTCTTTGATTTACCTGTTTTAGGTTTTTAAAAATTGTTTGACCTTTTCAAATAAAGCCCATTTAGCCTCTCTCAACTTGGAAATGGAAAACTCTTGCCACAACCAATCAACGGATTGATTTATGTTCGTATGAGACAGGGCTCCAGGCTAAATATTGTCTTCTGCAATCAACCATCTCATATTATGTTTAGCCCTTCCTCTGTCCCAAAAACATTATCAAAAAGATAGTATTAAAATGATATAATAGGGAAACCCCAAAGATAATGTTGGTATCAGCAAACCCTTTTGTATATACATTTATTATAATCATGCAATCAACCATCTCATATTATGTTTAGCCCTTCCTCTGAAAATAAGGTATAAAAGTCCCAAAAACATTATCAAAAAGATAGTATTAAAATGATATAATAGGGAAACCCCTAAGATAATGTTGGTATCAGCAAACCCTTTTGTATGTACATTTATTATAGTCATGCTATAAGATAATGATGTGAATTTGGGTTGAAATATCAATATCTGTTGTATTAACCCACCTGAAAGACACCCAGTTGTTTTGTTTTCATTCTTTCAATAAGATATAAATGTATCTAAAAAGCCATTTTTCTCTCACATCCCATTTCCCTTTGTGTAGAAGTCATGTGCCCATCCATTTTCTAACTAATTATGCGACAATTGTTCTATAAATGCTGAAAAAAAACATGGAAAACATTAATTAAATATACATACAACTGGCTCTGGTATTATAAGGGTAGATTATCAAGCTTAGACAGCATTCGGAAAGAAAACAATCGAAACAAATTTAATATGTTTTAAAAAGAATAAAATGGTTTAAGATGGGAAAAGATCAGATTAAAATCTATATCAAATGCAATTTTAAGTCTGCTCTGTTAACACCTCATTTTATTTTCCTCTCCGAATATTTCATCCTAGTAGTTATGTAAATTTTGTGTTTTAAAAGCCATTTTGGTAAGTGAAAACTATTGCAATAAAACAAGATTATTAGACTAGTCCAAATTGTCTAGATTGGAAGAATACAAAATTAGTTAAAAACATAAGATATAAAACTTTGTAGAGAAGTAAAAGTAGTGTATAAGGTACCTTGATTAAGTAATAAAGTAGCTTAATTACACTCTGTTTTGATGCGCTTTCTGTAATCATGTAACATGCCGAAATATAAATATTTTGCTTAGAAATGCATTAATAGGTATTGCAAAATGCGTTTTGTTTATATGCAGTTAACATTATTTGATTTAATTATGATTTCTACAATTCATAAAACATGCCAACTCTTTTGAAATAAGTCATATTTAACATTAAATACCCCTATATTTTCGTGATTTCGGTCACAGTACGCTACCGTAGAAAAAGCAAAATTACAGAACTTTGCATTTACATTTTTTAAAATACACAGTAAAAATGCTTGGTTGGTTATTTCTGTGTCAATTAACATAACTGTACAAAAGAAAACAAAGTATGACAGTGAGTAAAAGATAGACAGTCTTTTAATGATTACTTTATTCAAAATTGTGTTTAAAATCGCGAAATTATATGACACATTTTGTCATCTGCATAATCGTTAGTTAGTGGTCAATTCTGTTATCTACAAACATATTTTCCCCTTAAAATTTATACAGCTGCATATAAAAGCGCCTTAAATAACCCACCTTTGCTTTTGTAATGCGGGAATTGAAGTTGCTTCAGGATCCGGTTGTTCAAAACATTTGTTAGTATTAACCAGTAGTTAAATTCAAGATCCGCTGGTTAAATTTTATCCGTATGATAAATTCTGTTGTTCAAAACTTCTCTAACAGATAAAATGCGTTATCCAGTGGTTAACTTAAACCAGTGCTATAAGCATCGGATAACGTTAAAATATGGCTGCCTTTGACCTAACCAGAGGAAAAAGCGAGTTTTTCGCTTTAAATCGTATGATTATACGGATGATGAAATTATTCAACGGTTCCGTTTCTCTCCCGAAGACATTGATTACATATCAAGGATTCTTGATCCGTTTTTACGTCGGGAAACACAGAGAAATAGAGCGCTGAGTGTGCAAACGCAGGTTCAAATAGCTTTTCGCTATTTTGCCAGCGGTAGTCAGCTGAGAGTTGTGGGTGATGCTCTAGGATTTGATATATCTACAGTTTCAAGGACAGTAAGAGATGTTTCAGATGCATTTTGCCGAATTGGCCCAGCATACATTTGCTGGCCAAGCGATAGTGAGGGGAGAGAAATTAGAGACGGCTTTTATGAATTGCTGGGTTTCCTGGTGTGATGGGTGCGATTGTTTGCACCCATGTCCGCATACAGGGATCTTCAGAGTATGAAGGGGTTCCATTCCGTCAATGTCCAAGCTGTGTGTGACCACAGAGGTATATTACTTCTTTTAGCTTGAAACCTTTTAAAATTGACGCCCTTCTATTCTTTTACAGATGTAAAATAAAAAAAGATATTATCATAGAACTACCGAAATTCATGTCATGGTTAGAGCATGGATAAAACCGAAACCAATTAGTCTTCTCAGTTTTAAGTGCATTTATTCTTACAATATCTATGTATTTTTCCTTTTAAATAACTGCATATAGTTAACTTTTTCAATATATATACTATATAGAATTTTAAAATTCATAAGAAATACAAATTCCATATATGATTTTTATAGTCATCTACAATATTATACAAGATGAAAACAAGAGGGCTATGAAAGCCCTGAATTCGCTAACCTTTATATATACCCCCGGGGGCCATTTTAACCCAGGGGCTTTTTATTTGAACAAAACTTTTGGTAGACACCCATTTGAAAGATGTTTCATGATAAATATCTAAGCTTTAGCTTTTAAGAAGATTTTTTAAAAAGTTTTTACTATACACACATGTAGGAAAAATTCAATGATCCCCCTTTCTGACAGGTGGAGCTAAAAATACATTCTCATACTCAACCTTAAAGGAGAATATCATGATTGCAGTAGTTTGACATGTTACTGCTTGCTATGTGAGACACCGGTTTGCTATGGAAAGTCAGTAGTTGCTTTGGAAATCATTTGTTTGCTAAAAGATGTCAATGGTTGCTATTAAAAGCCAATGGTTGATATGGAATGGAAGTCAATAGTTGCGAAGGAAAATCACTGGTTGCTATTCAAGTAACTGTTTTCTCTGCAAATGCAATGATTACTATGAAAATGTAATGGTTTTTATGGAAAAGTTAATGGTTTGCTTTGGGAAAATCAATGGTTTCTTTGTGAAGTCAATTGATGTCACAGAAAAGTCCACTTGTTGCTGAATTCTATGGTTTGCAATTGAAAGTCACTGCTTGCTATGTTGAGACACATGTTGCTTTGGGAATTCAAAGGTTGCTATGGAAGTCAAAAGTTGCTAGGGAAAATCACTGGTTGCTATGCAAGTCACTGTTTGCTCTGCTAAGTCAATGGTTGATATGGAAAGTTAATGGTTTTTTATGGAAAGACAATGATTGCTATGCGAAATCAACATTACATAACCGTGAGGTTTGATAATATGAAATACGACGAAAAAGGCCACATTTAAGATTTAAACCACACACAATAACGATGCAGAAACAACATTGTAACATTTTATATATTAGTATGGTCTCTGCCTTAATTTGCCGAGGTTTTGCAAAAAATTTACGAAAAACCGCCAACCCTTAAAGTCCTGGAAAGGTTTTTATAAAAACACATATGCCACACATTTTAATTTTTTGTCAAAAGCATTAGATTTTTAAAAGTATGCACAAAAGCATAGTTTAGGTACATGGGATATTTTTTTTTATTAAAATTTTGCCTAAATGTTTTCGCAGAAAAAAAATTTTTAAAAAAGGGTCATAAAATTTTAAAAAATGGAAAGTTTTAATACATTTATGTTTTCTGTTGAACCGGGCCCTTGGGGGAGCCCTTCTGTCAATAAATTTTGCCCGGGCCCAAAACCTTAAAACCCTTTCTCATGGAAAGAAAAATGTTTCTACAAAAAACATAAATGCATGAACCCCCCGGATATCTTAACCCCGGCCCATTTTGATGACAACCCAAGACAAAAACAAAAATCACCGGGAAAAAATTTTCAAAAAAAAACAACAAATAAACTTGCCCTAAGATTTACGCAAAAATTCCGGACAGTCATGTTTAAACGTACATTATGCCTTTACTATCCATTATTTTCATTTTGTTTTCAATTTTTCAAAAAATGACAAACATGTGTTTAAAATGTTTTAAAAAAATTGATTAAGGGAATGTAGTATTATGTCAACTTGTTTTCTGTCCGCCAAAACCAACAACAGTCAAACATTATCATATATCGATATGATGTCATCATAGTTTTACATAAATGAAATATAAATCAAAATAAATTAAACCTCTTGTTTTCCGAAGTCCTGTAATTTGACACGCATTGTAAAGTTTTCAATTGCATACTGTTTTTGAATCGCTCCCTTAAAGAGATTAGGATTAACAATTTTGATTTGAGGCGACCCCGCTATCGCTTACATTGTGTCACGTGATGTTTTAGCCGTTGGCAATGCAGACACCGTAAGCTGCATCAAGGCCTTACTAATAGTCTAAGACGTTTTCAGGAGGATTTCTACGGACAGATAAGTAAATGTTGATCATTACTTTTTTATTTCATTATTTAAATTTTTTATAATTTAAGTAGTAAACATTACACACTTAATGCACATTCCTGTTTCGATGCAGCTTTGGATTTTGTATAAACAGTAGTCATTTGGTTTATTTACAAAGTAAATCTTTTTTTTACTTTAAGTCAGATTCCATTAAATATTTTGTAATTTAGCTCAAAGAAACGTAATTGTTTGATTCTTTCTAAATTGATATTATAATTCAGAATTTAATTTCTAAATTGATATTATAATTCAGAATTTAAATGCATTTTACACAACTAATTATGATTTATATACATTGCATTTATATTTCGGTTCTGAAAACCAATCCATCGCAATGGGTAAATACTTTATCAATGTTAAACTGCACCTACTTAACCAGCGAATTTTTGTATAAAATTTATTAAAGAAAGACATTTTAAAATAAAATGAACATTAAAACACTGAAAAACATATTGCCCAGCCCATGTACAATGCTGAAATTATATCTCCTGTAACTTTTGTGGCCAGTGCTATTGATCCCTTTAACCTTACCTTCTCACAGAGACATATTGTTTCGCATCTGTAAAAATTGTTACAACATAATATGATAATTAATCAAAGGGCTGCAAGCTCTGTGGTATTTTCTGATCTCGTACTGTATATCTGTACGTATTTTCCTGTATAGGTTTATTTTTAATTACTATAATTCATCTTGCAAGGCACCAGAGTTTGATACATACGGAATTTTGCATAACTAGAGAGTTGCATCAAAAAATAATTTATGTTCATTTTTTATGACAGCCACACTTTATCCTTGCATATCTAACTACTTCTTTAACAAAGACACTTAAAAAAAGAATTAAAAAAAAGTTGCCTCGACTGGGATTTGAACTCTAGACCTCTCACAAACGAAACGAGCGCTTTATCCCTGCACCACGGAGAAGTTATACAGACATTGCTTGAATAAAATCAAGTGATTCTAAATTTAGAATTTCCATTGCATTTCGGGTTTGTAATCCTTATTAATTTTGAGGTATTTTGTTCAGGATAAACCTGTTGTTTAAAATTGAAGTAAATAATTTAGCGAAAATCTTCTCGCCAAAAACAGTCCGACATGTATAATCTATATATTCCACTACTCGGCAGTCAGATTTATTTGTGTATATTCGGTAATCGGACATCGCTAAAAATAGCATTTTTATTGATGAAAAATCATATCATCGGCCGCGTAATTTGTGATTGTGCATTTATTGACAATCTATAAAACCCAACGCTACTTTTAAACTTTGAATGCATTGTAATTTGTTGGATACTTGTAACAAAATAAAAATAATTTTTCTTTTAAATCGCTAGTTTTTAGCTTTTTTTTGAAAACTACTTGTTGTTAGGTTTGTCTTGAAACTTCTGTATCAGAGATTGAATGTCCGCTTTGTATTTACTGATCTCCGATCAGAAAATACAAAAATCTGCTTTTAAAATGAAACAATTCTATGTCAAATTGAAAATGTAAGTACTATAGTGTGAAGCAAGCTTGGATTGTGTTTTTAGAATTATACTTCTACATGTATATTGAATTGTCTACAAATAATTTATACATTAATGAGGCACTTTTAGCCTCAGCAATGAATACATTTTTCCTTTTTAGAAAACATATATCATTTAATATTGTTAATCATAACGATTTCGATAAAGAGCGTAAATTGCCTATCACCCAAAAGAAACCCTGACTGTGAAATATTATAATGTACAATGAACAAATTGGCACCTAAACTTCCATACAGTTAGAATTTCTACTGCGTTAATTCCACATACAATAAAATACTCTAATAACTATTCTTGATTTCCTTTCATTGTTTATTTGTTGATAATGTTTCTAAATTTCTAATCTAAAGTTAATACTTAAAGCTGCAATAAATTATTTTCATAAAAACAGAAAAAGCGACATTTCATCAATAAATTGGGTTTCATATTAACTCCAGATCTTATTTTGGTGTCCAGACAAAATGAGTTTTATAAGCAAAAGAAAATAAGTCGTGCAAACATGGCTATAAGTAGCAGTCTTAATTTAACGGAATATTTCCGCATTGTAAAGGATGTTTTCATACAAATTTAATCTTTTTCGTGCAATGACTACTTTTTTTCTGAACGCCAGGCCTAATGCATTGTGAAGCTAAAACGGTTGAGGTGTGTTTGCCCAAGAAAATCCCCTATTTGTTTTGTTTCAGATAGCAAATATAACACTGTGACATTGCGCATACATGTGCTGTTATAGTATTTATTTGCATGTTAAAATCCGTGTACGAACTTACGTGTTACCGTGGGGTTTTCCGTTTAAAATCATAAGTTATGAACAATATTTGATGACATTTACAACAAAACTGTTTAAAAGGTTAATAAAACAGTTGAATGCTTGGTTTTTAGGCTTACGGCAAAATAATTTTACATCTTAATGTAATGCAGCGTTAATTTAACAGTCAGTGTTTTTCTTTCTCACATATGTTTAACTAGTCACTGAATATTTTATTTCCCAAAATAACATGTTAACTCTCAAAACTCTAGTATCTTGACCCTTACTCTTGAATTCCCTTAGAAAATTATGTACTAGTCAGTATTTACAGTAAATACATATCTTTCTCCATTTTTGGAGGTTACCCTAGTGTTAAATGACAAACATAAGCCTTCTATATCTATGACGACAAGTGTTACTAAAATTAAACCGACTGATTCCTGGAATATTTATGATGGTAACCGATTATTGAGTTACCTAAAAACAGCTATTGCAGACCTCTTGTCCAGAATTTATGAAGATAACCTTTGTCAGGGTTAAGATACTAAAATCTCACAGACTGATACACAATCTAGCCCAACAGATTTATAATAATAAATAATGACAACAAATGAGGTCTCAATTCTCATACAAACTCAATCATTAAATCAAACCTTAACAGGTTAATAATGTAGACTGTTTTTCTTTGATTTACCTGTTTAGTGTTTTAAAAAAATGCTCTACCTTTTCAAATAGAGCCCATTTAGCCTCTCTCAACTTGGAAAGAAAACTCTTGCCACAACCAATCAATGGATTGATTTATGTTCGACAAAACGTATGAGACAGGGCTCCAGGCTGTTATCTCTCGCTAAATATTATCTTCTGCAATCAACCAGCTCATATTATGTTTAGCCCTTCCTCTGAAAATAAGGTATAAAAGTCCCAAAAGCATTATCAAAAAGATAGTATTAAAATAATATTATAGGGAGGCCCCTAAGATAATGTTGGTATCAGCAAACCATTTTGTACGTACATTTATTATAATCATGCTATAAGATAATGATGTGAATTTGTGTTGATATACCACTATCTGTTATATTAACCCACCTGAAAGACACCCAGTTGTTTTGTTTTCATTCTTTCATGTATCGAAAAAAAACATTTCTCTCTCACATCCCATCTCCCTTTGGGTAGAAACCATGTGCCCATCCATCTTCTAACTAATTATGCAACAACTGTTCTATAAATGCTGAAAAAACATGGAAAACATTAATTAAATATACATACAACTGTCTCCGGTATCATAAGGGTAGATTATCAAGCTTAGACAGCATTCGAAATGATAAAAATCGAAACAAAAAGAATAAAATGGTTCAAGATGGGAAAAGATCAGATTAGAATCTATATCAAATGCAATTTTAAGATTATCAGAGTAGTCCAAATTGTCTTGATTGGAAGAATACAAAATTAGTTAAAAACATAAGATATAAAACTTTGTAGAGAAGTAAAAGTAGTGTATAAGGTACCTTGATTAAGTAATAAAGTAGCTTAATTACACTCTGTTTTGATGCGCTTTCTGTATTCATGTTACATGCCGAAATATGAATATTTTGTTTAGAAATGCATTAATAGGTATTGCAAAATACGTTTTGTTTATATGCAGTTAACATTATTTGATTTAATTATGATTTCTACAATTCATAAAACATGCCAACTCTTTTGAAATAAGTCAAATTTAACATTAAAAAACCCCTATATTTTCGTGATTTCGGTCACAGTACGCTACCGTAGAAAAAGAAAAATTACAGAACTTTTGCATTTACATTTTTTGAAATACACAGTAAAAATTGATGGTTATTTCTGTGTCAATTAACATAACTGTACAAAAGAAAACAAAGTATGACAGTGAGTAAAAGATAAACACTTTTTTAATGATTACTTTATTCAAAATTGTGTTTAAAATCGCGAAATTATATGACACATTTTGTCATCTGCATAATCGATTAGTTAGTGGTCAATGCTATTATCTACAACCTTAAAATTTATACAGCTGCATATAAAAGCGCCTTAAATTACCCACCTTTGCTTTTGTAATGCGGGAATTGAAGTTACTTCAGGATACGGTTGTTCAAAACATTGGTTCGTGTTAACCAGTGGTTAAATTCATTATCCGCTGGTTAAATTTTGTCCGTTGGATAAATTCTGTCGCTCAAAACTTCTCTAACGGATTAAATGCGTTATCCAGTTGTTAACTTTAACCAGTACTAACGCGCTTAACCAGTGGTTAAATATGGCTGCCTTTGACCTTCTGTACAATGTTAACCAGAGGAAAAAGCGAGTTTTTCGCTTTAAATCGTATGATTGTACGGACGATGAAATTATTCAACGGTTCCGTTTCTCTCCCGAAGGCATTGATTACATATCAAGGATTTTTGATCCGTTTTTACGTCGGGAGACACAGAGAAATAGAGCACGGAGTGTTCAAACGCAGGTTCAAATAGCTTTACGCTATTTTGCCAGCGGTAGTCAGCTGAGAGTTATGGGTGATGCTCTAGGATTTGATGTATCTACAGTTTCAAGGACAGTAAGAGATGTCTCAGATGCATTTTACCGAATTGGTCCAGCATATTTTTGCTGCAAGCGATAGTGAGTGAAGAGAAATTATAAATGTCTTTTATTGAATTGCTGGGTTTCCTGGTGTGATGGGTGCGATTGATTGCACCCATGTC